GAGCAGGAGCCGTCCCGTCTGGCCGATGTGTACCAGGAGGAGCTGCGGGAGCTGCGGCGCCGCGTGGAGCTGCTGGGCACCGCCAAGGCGCGCGCGGAGGTGCAGAGGGACGGCCTGGCTGAGGAGCTGGGGAGTCTGCGGGAAAAGTATGGGGGGGTCTTGCAACGGGGAGGGGGGGAGGGGGGCTGCTATGGGGGCCCGGGGGTGGTGGGGACTGAGGTGGCCGCCAGGACTGGGGTGGGGACCAACGTGGTGGTGGGGACCAGGGTGGTGATGAGGATTTAGGTGGTGGTGGTGGTGGGGACTAAAGGTAGCCACTGTGACCCGGGGGATAATGGGGACCGGGATGGGAATCGGCCTGGTGATGGGCAGCGCGATGGGTGCTGGAGTGGCAACGGGCAGCAAGGTGATGCTGGGGACCAAAGTGGCCCCAAAGTGATTGATGATGGGGAGCAGGGTGATAATGGAGATTTAGGTGGTACTGGGGATCAGAGTGGCTGCCACAACCAGGATGAGGACCAGGATGGTGATGAGGACCAATGTAGCCACCGTGATCGTAGTGGTCCCAGGCACAAAGGTGTCTACTGGAACAAGTATCAGGGTGCCCAGCAGCACTAAGGGGGTCACCAGGACGATGACCAAGGTAGTGATGGGGTCCGAGGTGACCACCAGAACTAGGAAATGGCTACTGGGGTGGTATATAAGTGCAGTGGGGCTGCTCTAGGGCGGTCTGAGCTGTAAGTGGCCACCATGAGTAACAAGTGACTGTGTCTCATGAGTAACAACATGTCCCTGCTCTGTTGAAGGCTGCAGCAGGAGGTCACCCTGCGGCTGGAGGCCGAGAGCACCCTGGCTGCATACCGGCAGGTGAGGGCAGGGGATGAGATGGGGAGTGGGCATCAGCTCCCCTCTCTGGGGCTCCCAGGACAGGGCTGGGATGGGATGACAGGAGATGCGATGGAGGGATGGGCAGACCCCCGTGCCCACCCTGGTGCTGATCCCTCCATGTCACACGGTGGCAGGATGTTGATGCTGCTGCCCTGGCTCGCCTTGACCTGGAGCGTCGCGTAGGGTCCCTGCAGGATGAGGTGGCCTTCCTCCAGAAGGTGCATGAGGAGGTAACGTCGCTGCGGTGCGGGGCTCCAGGGGGATCCATCACCTCGCTGACCCCAGTTCCCTGCAGGAGCTGCGGGAGCTGCAGGAGCAGCTGGCCCAGCACCGGGTGCACGTGGAGGTGGATGCCAGCAAGCCAGACCTGACGGCAGCACTGCGCGATATCCGCACGCAGTATGAGGCCATGGCTGCCAGCAACATGCAGGAGACTGAGGAGTGGTACAAGTCCAAGGTGCAGGTGGCACCCTGTCCCCGTATATCATCTCCATGGGTTGAGTTGGCTTCTCCTGTGGCTGGGTGGCTCTATGGGGCAATGGCACAGGAGGGCTGACCCTACGGTGTGTCCCTTCCAGTTTGCAGACCTGACAGATGCAGCTGCCCGGCACGCAGAGGCCCTACGTGCAGCCAAGCATGAGGCCAACGAGTACCGGCGGCAGCTCCAGGCCCTCACCTGCGACCTGGAGGCTCTGCGGGGCTCGGTAGGTGCCAACCGTAGGGCAGGAGGTGGGACGTGTCCCTGGGTCGTGGCACCACGGGTGCCCAAGGAGGTGGCATCGAGGGCATCACGTCCCACGGTGGTCACCAGAACGAGTCCCTGGAGAGGCAGCTGCGGGAGCTGGAGGAGCGCTACGCACTGGAGACGTCCGCCTACCAGGACACGGTGGGACGGCTGGAGGAGGACATCCGCAGCCTCAAGGAGGAGATGGCGCGGCACCTGCAGGAATACCAGGACCTGCTCAACGTCAAGCTGGCCCTCGACATCGAGATCGCCACGTACCGCAAGCTGCTGGAGGGCGAGGAGAGCAGGTGACGGCCCTCCCTGCCCCGCACCATCCCTGGGTCCTTTTGGTGCTGCTGGGTTTGGGGAGCGCCCTGCGGCCCTCCTGCCTCACCCGTGGGGCAGAGGGGACCCGATGCTCTCCCCGACGCTCCCGTTGCTCCCGCAGGATCACCGTCCCTGTGCAGAGCTTCTCCAACCTGCAGATCCGAGGTGAGGCTGCAGCTGCGCACGGGATGGGGGTAGGATGGGCTGCCAGCTCTCTGTGCCCCAAGAGTCCCCCGCAGAGTCCCAAGGTGGAGGGGATGATACGCCGTGGTCACATCCCTAAGGCCAACTGCATCTCCGAGGCCGCGTCCCCAGTGCCAACCATTCCCCCAGGGTCAATCCTGTTGCTGAGGCCAACCGTGGCTCCCAGGCCGACTCCACTGATGAGGCTAATTGTATTCCTAGTGTTGCGTGTAGCCAACACCAACCACGTCCCCAGTGCTACCCTTATCCCCAGTGTCAACCATAATCAAGTGCCCAATCTTCTCCCAGGGATGCTTCATCCCTAAGGCCAACCACAACTCAAAGCCACGTCACCAAGGCCAACACCATCGATGCGGCCAGCCATATCCCCAGTGCCAACCGTGTTCCCAAGGCCAGCCACATACCAAAGCTAGACACATCCTCAGGGCCAGCCATGTCCTCACTGCTACCTTCACCCCAAGGTCACAGCCCAGTCCCAACCACAAAGTCCCCAACCGCAACCCAGTGCTGACGTTTCTCCCAAGGCCAATAGTGTTCGCTCCAACAGATTGGGATTTTTCAGCCCAACTAATTCCTTTTGCACCCCTTCAAGGTGTATGAGTGGCCATACTGGGAGCGCTGGGTCACCACCCTGTCCCATCCATAGAATCACAGAATGGCCTGTGTTGAAAAGGGCCACAACACTCATCTGGTTCCAACCCCCTGCTGTGTGCAGGTCACCAACCAGAAGCCCAGGCTGCCCAGAGCCACATCCAGCCTGGCCTTGAATGCCTGCAGGGATGGGGCATCCACAGCCTCCTTGGGCAACCTGTGCCAGTGCCTCACCACCCTCTGGGGGAAAAACATCCTCCTAATATCCAACCTAAACCTCCCCGTGTTCCCTAGAGACCAGCCTGGACACCAAGTCTGTGTCAGAAGCTCATTTGAAGAGGAGCATTGTGGTCAAAACGGTGGAGACGAGAGATGGAGAGGTGGGAAGTCTTCATCCCCTCCATCCCCAAGGGGAGACACTCTGTCATGTGCACGGGTCCCGTCCCCAGGCATGTTCAGACAGACCTGAGTGGGCTGACAGTCCTTCTCCCTCTGCTTCCAGGTGATCAAGGAGTCCAAGCAGGAGCACAAGGAGGTGGTGTAGGTGTGAAGCCACAGCCACGCTTGTAGCCGTAGCTCTGTAGATCCCACCTGATGCTGCGAGGGAGCCCTGCAGTGGGGCCGGAGACATAGGAGAAACCCACCCTCATTTCCCCACCACCCCATGCCCCAGGGACCCCTGTGTTGGTCCAGTCAGGACTGAGATATGGGGGCAATGCTCCCCACTTCCCACCTCATTGGTCCAGGAGGCCACCTCGAGTTTCCCCACCGTGTCCTGGGCATCCCTGGGAGGGCTGGAGGGGACGTGGCACTGCATGGCCAGGGATGTTTTACTGTTGTCGAGCAGCAGTTGGGCTTAGCCAAGAGGTGCAGGCAGGAGGAAGAGGAAGATGGAGCATACGGGGAGGCAGGTTGATGTTGGGATGGGGAGAAGGGTGATGGAGTGGGGCCTGAGCAGGGTGCCTGGGGATGCAGAGCGGTTGTGGGGCTGGAGCAGCGTGGGAGTCCTTGTTGGCTTTCCTGGACACAGCGCCATGGGGCTGTTTTGACCCTGATGGGATGCAGCATGCCGAGATGCCCCCATCTCCAGAGATGAGGAGACAGTCCAGGGGGCTCATGGCCCGAGCCCAGCTCTGCATGGCCATTCTGGAGGGGTTGGAAGAAATCTGTTGTCCCTCAGCACCGTGTGACCCTGTCTCCTGTGCGCTCTCCCACTGCATGTCACCCACCTGGGGCCCCCGCAGACCTCACACTCACTTTATTTTAGTCACTGACCATGAGCTAAACGTGCCCTGCTGCCACCTAACACAGCAGCACCCACTCATCGGCACTCCCCTTACTCCATAAGTTGAGCCCATGGGGTGCCACTGGGGTGCTGCCTCCTCACCCCGCTTATCTCCACATCCCCCAGCTCAGCTCTGAGCTTTGCAGATCCTGGTTCCACAGGGGCCATTCCCAGGGCAGGATGTGTTACGGGGTGACAGTGCCAGGGGTCACTTTGTCCCCCATGTGCTGGATGGTGCTTTGCAGCCCTTACTGCTACTGGATTAATGCCCTAACGCTGCAACAACATGAGGTGTGAAATAAAGCCTAACACAAGTGCTGTGTCGGTGGCCATGACTGCAACCTGCAGGACAAGCTGCAGAGCGGTGCGTTTTTTGGATCAGTCAGGGCACAGCGACCCTTTGGGTGCTCAGAGGTTTCTCACTGTGGGACCAAGGCTCAGCCCTGAGCCCCAGGGCATTCTGCCATCACAGAATATCCCAGCCGGAAGGGATGCGGATCACTGCCCAACTCCTGGCGCTGCCCAAACCCTGCGTCTAAGACTGGTGTCCCAATGCTCCTTGAGCTCCAGCCCACCACCCTCTTGGTGCAGAAGAAAAATAGAAATGTTCAAACTCAGCTTGTTGAAAAACAGATCTCTCCAGCTGAGGATCTTGCACAAACACCGAGTGTCTTAAAATCCCTTTGGGGCACAGTTGGCACTGGCAACAGGAGGGTCACTCATCACGGAGGTTGGCCTTGGTGGCACTGCCTTGGTGGGCAGCTTTGGGCTGCAGTTGGCCTTGGGGAACGCAGTGGGCAGTGGGGATATGATTTTTAAAAGGTAAGGAAAGCCAGAATCAATCGGAGTAGAACAACCTGGAGGACTACAGTGGCCTCTTAGAAAAACAACCCTAATAAATCACCGGCATGGCAGAAGAACTCCATGGTGCTTAGCCAGAAAACACTGCAGCGGCTCCAGCTATTCATTCCAAAAGGATTACACTGAGGCTAAAAGCCCACCGCAAGCCTTCAGCGAAGCCAGGAAGTGACACGGCGGTGGGAAATCCCTGCCACAGCGCAACGGGACTTTCTGCTTTGGTCTCCATCGCTGCACGACCCCGAGCAGAGGATAGGAGGGCAGCGGCCGCATTTCCAGCAATCACAACCTCATAAATTTCCCACCAGGGAACGGTGCGAGGTGTAAGATTGACCCTAAATCCTCACAGAGTGCCGCAGCACCCACCAGCAGCAGCGGCACGAGTGGACGCCGATGAAGATGGCCCCGACGAGGACGTAGCTGACGCCGATGGCCTTGATGACGTAGATCGTCTCGGGGTCGTCGAGCGAGCGGCGGCGCTGAGCCTGGTAGCTCACACGGAGCCGCAGCCCGGCCACCAGCTTGCCCTCCCTCCAGCAGAGGTAGGTGCCTCCGTCGCTGAAGCGGACCCGGCGGACGTGCAGGTGGTTTCCGTGGTCGATGAAGACGCGCATGCTCCTGTTGACCCCCACGAGGTAGCGGGAGCGGTAGAGCCGCACGGAGTCCTTGTCCCAGGCCACGGCGTGCTCGGGCCGGGCCCCGGGGCAGGCGATGACCAGATCTCTTCCGAGGGGATGCTTGTAGAACTGCGTGGGGACGCGGGGCAGCCAGGGCTTCTGGCCCAGCTTGTGGATGACGTTGGAGATGGCCTGCACGCCTTCCTGTGGGTCGTCCTCCTGCGGACACGGGGCCACGCAGCTCCGGATCGCCACCTCGGGCTTCCGGCGGTGGCTGGAGCGCTGGAGCCGCGCCGGAACGGCCCTGGAGCCGCAGGAGGTGACGTTGGGCAGCACGGTGCGGTAGCGCGGGTGCAGCCGGGCGCTCTGCACGTAGCAGAGCCCGATGCGCCTCTGCTCGCCTCGCACCCCGCAGCGGTCGCACGTGGTCCAGTCCCAGAAGGCGGTGAAGAGACTGAAGGCCTTCGCCGTGTGATCATCCTGGACGTGCTGTCCCACGTCCAAGAACGCCACCGTGATGTGCTTGGTGGGCTGCACGTCCACGTCATAGCCGTAAAAAAAATCCCCTCTCTGGGTGCCACACAGGTAGTGACCCGAGTCTGACACCTGGGCACGGAAAACGATGAGGCTGAACATCCGGATGGTGAAACGCTTCAGGACGTCAGTGCCCACGTGGATGTGGCTCGAGTCGAGCACCATGTTGCCAGAAAAGTCTGTCAGGACGGTGGTTTCGTGGCCTCCCATGTTCTTCTGGAAATACCAGACGACGTTGGAGACCTCCTCGGGCTTGCAGTTGCAGGGGAGCTCGAAGGTCATGTCGGCCAGGTAGGCGGCGTTGTCGAACATCAGGAAAGCAGGACACACCATGCGCCTGAATATGTCTTCTTTCTCCTCAATCGCAAAGGAGTGGAGAACATCTGCCATGCAGAGGAGCAGGACGGCTCCCAGCAGCCCCATCTCCATCCTAGGTGTCCGAGACACGGCTCTGGAACCCTTCCAGCTGCTCTAAACCTTTCCAGGTGTTCTAGAACGTGCTGTGCTATGGGTTTTGCTATGGGCAACCAGCAGAGAGCTCCATCATGTAGCACGGCCATGGAGGCAAAAGGGAGGGGGGAACAAGGGAATCACTGCTGTTCTCTTGAAAAAAAGCAAATATTAAGGATCGCCTTACCAACTCTTCTGTAGACAATGATCATGGAGAACCTCCCTGTTGGCAGCTTCACCTGCAGCCCAGAGCCAGAGGTTTCACACAAGATATTTAGAATTTCATATCCTCCCTGATGTATCAGTATCCCCCACTCTGATTTTGGGAGCCCCCAGGACCTTCCCTTTTTGTTTAAGACAAAAGGCTTTCTGTTAGCTTCCTGGCTGCCAAATGTCACACAAAGGCAAAAAGACTGCAGGGACACACACGTCCCCAAGATACATGCCACAAAACCAAGACACGTGCCAAGAGAAGCCTGAAATTGGGGGCCTAGTTTCTAGAGAAGGTGGGAGAGGGTGAGATATAGCCAGGCAGGGCTGACTCTGCCTTTTGCTCCTCTAGCTGGGCTTTTGAACAAAATGGACTTGGTAGTTGATTCTGAGCTGAATTCAAGGGAATCTGAGCAGTGCAGCACAGCCTGTGCTCTCCAGCACTCCTGGAAGATCTTCCCACACTAGACCTGAAGGAGAGTGTGGTGGGCAGGTGCTGAGCTGTACCATATGAGAGCCTTTCTGAAGTCTGCAGCCTAAACAGAATGGCTAATCAATCCAGACATGGTAACACACAGCATTGGAGAGTCCCCCCGTTACGATGCTGCCTGACACTTCCTTCTAAATTTCAATTTATGTAGAATTTAGGCAAACCGTGGTCCAGGACCATGGGGTGACAGCATCTCTGAGGTTTACACCAAGCCCTGCTTAAAATGGGTCAGTCCCAGAATTTCCTCCTTGCACTGCATCCCCCCCCTCACCATCCCTGGCTGCGTGGTTAAACGTCAAATGTCCTGGATTACATTTCTTAAATCCAGAGTGACAACGGACAGAGATGAAGAAGGGGAGGAACTACTTGGGTTTTGGTTTCTCCTCCGTACACGTCAGCCTAAATGTTCTTTCCTTCATTTATTCTCCTCACCTAAGAGATTCTTACAGAACTGTCCTGTGAGGACACAGAGATCACAAGAACACAAAGTCTGTTGCTAACCTTTATTGGGCAGAACCACTGCTGCTCCCTCAGCTGGCCTGGTAGCACCTCATCAGCTCTGTGACCCTCCTTTCCTCCGCTTCCTTCTGCAAGTCGGTGTCGGTGGGGTGGGCTTCTCCCTCTGCTTCGCCACAGGGATGGCCAGGGGTCCAATAACCCCCACTCATGCTCTGCAGCTTCCTAAACAGATCCCTGGTGCTCTCTTTTTCTGACGCGCTCAGAAGATCCAGGTTTAACCCAAAGCGTTTGGTGCTGGAAAGGCTCTGTAAGATCTGAAGCACAGCATCTCTGTCTTCGTGGCAGACGTTCTCTGCCAGCACGGTAAGGAACTCACCCAGGAGGCCAAAACCCAACTCGGCCTGAAAGATTCTGCTCAAGGCCTTCCCCTCCAGTTTAAGCAAAAGCTGGTATTTTTCTTTTCCACTTTTTAAGCACCGGCGCCAATCTCGGTAAAATTCGGCAGAGGTTCCAGGCAATTGCTCCAGCTCCTGAAGGAGAAAATGATTGTCAAGTTTTCTGCTTTGTTCCTCACAAAGGTTTTTACCCCCCCTTATCAGCCCGTGGATGTCTGACAAATCCTTCCGGCACAAAGAGCTGCACAAAGCTTGTAAGGCAGCAACACGTGCAAAGAGACAAAGGGATACCAGGTTCACCGAGCCCAAGAGAAACCAGAGGACTTCAGAGAAAAACAAAGGAAGAGTGGGTGAGAGATGAAATGCAAGGCACGTGAACACAGGAACCCAAACTGCCCACTCTGGATCCACCATCCACTGAAAAGGATCTCTTGGAGACTGTGATAATTCCACGGAAATTTGGGTCCCTCTCAAGCAAACCAAACAGGTGAAGAGAAAAAAGCTGAAGGGCTTAAAACCCAGAAAGCATAATAGTTTATACATCCTATATGCACACCCTAACCCTATATAAGCAGCCTCACATACTGTCTCATAGCGTCCTGTAACACACACACCCACAATCGAGCACTCAGACTCAGACACCCAGCTCAATGTGGCATCTCCAGATAAAAGAAATCCTGCTTATACGATATGTAAGTGAACTGCTGAACTCAAACTGCTGACTGCAGAAGGATTAAAATGTTTGGGCTTTTATACAGATCCTGAGAACGAGGTGCAGCAGCATCAGGCAGTGTCTAAACACGAAATTGAGAGGCCCTGGAGATCAGAGCCTGAGCACTAATGGGATTAAGAGCAGCATTTGCTCTGGGGAGATCACTGCTCAGCCCAAGCAAAGACAGAGCTGCCTTAGAAGAGCTGCAAAAAGGATCTCATCCTAAACAAGCAAATGAAATTCACTGTCAAAAATTTCACGCAGAACATCTCCAGCTGGGAACAGTCCAGAACAGAGCGCACCACCAACAGTGCCATCGTGCTGCTGGGCCGCCAGGAGTCACCACGGGCTGAAAACACCAAAACAGAGCCAACATTGGGGGCTAACAGGAAACCAACTGAGAGCAAAGTGACCATTTTTTATTTCTGCACATCTGGTGGGTGCCTGCATCAAAATAACCCAGCGCCAGAGCGGGAAGGGAAATAAGGGAAAGATGGAAGCACGGAGTCCTTCCATTCCAGAAGACATTCAGCTGACCAGGACTTGGAAAAAGTCCTCTGATGGCAGCAGGGCAGATGTCAGCCCCATCACACGGAGCCTGCGGAGAAAACATTTTTGCACCGTTTCCCAACTGCAGAAGTAGGGATGACCCAATGAACTCATCGGGCAGCAGGCTGAAAACAAAACAGCGCTTTTCCATCTCATGCATAATTAAACTGCGGGGTGAAGAAGAATTGGCTCCGTTCACAGAAGATGTGTTATCTGTGGCCATTAAATGCAGCAATCCAGATGCACAGCCTGGCTCTCAGTCTCCAGGCTGCAGCCAGCTGGAGGAGCGTGGCCAACGGAGGGCACTCTTCCCCAAGAATCCATTGCTGGCCACTGTCAGACACAGGGCACCGAGTCTTCCATCATCTGGTCTTCAACTCTTCATGCAGACACAAAAAAGGAGACTGAACCCTGCAGCTCAGAACTGGGTATTCTGAGGCTTCTTCACACGTAGAAATAATTCTGGATAGCTCATGTGCATTAAAGTGACACCCAAATTACTCTGCAGTAATATTTAGGGATGGGTGAAGCCCCAGAAAGCATCTCCCCTCGCCCAGGGCATCTCCCTCACCTGTGGTATCTCCACCTCAGTGGCTTGCTGGCCCCTCGTGTGGCCTGCACAGGGATTCCACAGCACGTTTCTCTTGTTCCCCATCTTGTCCTTCTTCTCTAGAGGCCTTAAGTGTGATGCCAGCACGATGTCCCTGCAGGGAACAGGAAGAGGACACAAGGTGAAGCACACGGATGATGGAGTTGGAGTTTCTTCCCAACAGCTTCTGCAGCAGCCAGGGCCCAAGGACTGGCAGGACTCTTCTTCCTCCTGCATTTTCCTGGGGTACACTGAAGATTTTGTATCTTTGGGACTTCCACAGAAGAAGTCCTCTGTTCTTGTAGGCATTCTTACTCAGCCAGCCCATTACACTGACGTCTGTGACTAATTGCAGCAGCCCGGACTCAGCAGCTCATGTCATCCTTCTCATCCCGTGGGATGAACGTCTGTGCCTGTTGTTCATTAGTCCTCCCAGTAACGAGATTTTCAAATGGGTTCAGGGCTCTGCTGGCCCTCACAAGGGGGGAAGCAGCACCCACAGGGAGAAGCTGTTCTGTTCTCCTGCGGATGACTCCTGGCTGCTGACACCACAGCGCATTGCAGATTTTGTGAACTGAGGAGGAATGTGATTTTTGATCGTATTCTACCAAGAGAACTGCAGCTGTAGTCCTTTTATAGGGGTAGGGGAGAAAGCAATGCCATAAATGCCATTTTAAAGTTTTTCCTTTACTCAGATCCGACAGTGTGGCCACATTCAGGCAGAATGGAGCTGCCAGCGCCACGTGCTCCAGCACTGGATAAGTCTATCGGGGGTGCATAGACCCCCTGGATCCATCTATGGATCTTCCTGTGGATGTGAGGGACGGGGACACGGTGGAGGACACTAGGAGTGTCCCACATTGCCTGCCCAAAAGGAGCTTCCTGCATCCTAGATTGCAAATCTGCTGATGGAGGAGCTGCCGAGCTGCCTTTCAGCAGGACCTGGGCAGAATCACACAGAATCACAGAATGACCCGGGTTGAAAGGGAACTCAAGGATCACGGAGCTCCAACCCCCTGCCACATTTCACAGCAGCCCAGGCTGCCCAGGGCCCCATCCAACCCGGCCTTGAACACCTCCAGGGATGGACGGGGCATCACAGCCTCTCTGGGCAGCTGTTCCAGCCCCTCACCGCTCTCACAGCACAGAACTTCCCCTGACATCCAACCTCCATCTGCCCTCCCTCAACTGCAAACCATCTCCCCTTGCAGGCACAGAGGAGCCCTGGGACATCCAGCACGGGCAGGCGAGGGAGGGAGGAAGGCAGGAGGAGCTCTGCAGGAACCGCGGCTCACCCGCGATGCGGCACTGCGGTGCTGTGCGGTGCCGTGCGGTGTTGTATTGTGTGCAGTGCTGTGTGCGGTGCTGTGCTGTGTGCGGTGCTGTGCTGTGTGCTGTGCTGTGCGGTGCTGTGTGCTGTGCTGTGCGGTGCTGTGCGGTGCTGTGCTGTGCTGTGTGCGGTGCTGTGTGCGGTGCTGTGCTGTGCTGTGTGCGGTGCTGTGTGCGGTGCTGTGCTGTGCTGTGTGCTGTGCTGTGTGCAGTGCCGTGCGGTGCTGTGTGCTGTGCTGTGTGCAGTGCTGTGCTGTGCTGTGTGCGGTGCTGTGTGCGGTGCTGTGCTGTGCTGTGTGCTGTGCTGTGTGCGGTGCTGTGCTGTGCTGTGTGCAGTGCTGTGCTGTGTGCAGTGCTGTGCTGTGCTGTGTGCAGTGCTGTGCGGTGCTGTGCGGTGCTGTGCGGTGCCGTGCGGGGCGTTGCGCCCACCTGAACTGCTCGTAGGATCCCACGCGCTGCCGCACTGCGCGCAGCTTGGCGCTGTTCTCCCTCTCGCGCCTCTCGTCGGCCTCCAGCGCCGCCCGCAGCTCCGCCCGCAGCGCACCCATATCCACGGCTCCGTCCGCTTCCATTGGCCCGCCTGCTGTCGCGATAGCCACGACGGGAGGCCTCGGCGCGCGACCAGCTGCGGGGATAAGGCTCCCGTTGTGACAGCGATACCCGCTAACGCGCCTCAGTGGCGACGAGGACCCCGCTGCTGCCGCAACGGCTCGTGGCTGACCCTCATGTCGCGACAGACCACTGGGCCGGCGCACACCGCTCCCCCAGGGATTCCCGTCGCGATAGCCCTCACCGGGCCGTGCACCCTCATTCCTGTCGCGATCGGCCCCGCCCACACGCACCGCCAACCCGGCAGCCTCGCTCCTATCGCGACGGCGCCCCGAGCCGCTCCGCCGCGCCCGCCCCTCCCGTTGCCATGGCGACAGCGCCGCGCGCCGCCCGAAGGACCCGGCGGGGCTGCCCGCGTCGTGCCTGAAGAACGGCGGCGCCGCTGCCGCCCAGCGCGGGACGGGCGCCCAGGGCAGCCCCGGTCCTTCCGCTGCGCCGTCGGCGGCGCCAACGGCCGAGAGAGCGGGGAGAGCGCGGCGGAGATCCGGGGTGAGGGGTGCGGGAAAAGGGCGGGGAACGTGGTGTGAGGCCGGGAACTGAGGGCCGGGGCCTGGGGCTTAGGGCTTAGGGCTTAGGATCCGCGTCAGGGGCGGGTCCTGAATGTGCGGCCTTTTCTGGAACTGAGGTGGGGTGTCTCTGAGGCAGGATGTGCGCGTGGGGCTGGCTGTGACTCTGGGGCACGAGCTGGGTGTAGGACTGGTCCTGCATCCAGGGCCGGTTATGGGCTGTGGAGATGAGGCTCGATCTGGATCTTGGTCTGGTCCTGGGGCTGGAATTGAGGCTCAGTTGTGATTCCAGGCTTCTGCTCCCAGCTCTGATCCCATCGCTTCACCCCCAGCATGGACACTGACCTGTACGACGAGTTTGGGAACTACATCGGGCCGGAGCTGGACTCTGATGATGAGGACGATGAGCTGGGCCGGGAGTCCAAGGAGCTGGACGAGGTGGGTGCACGGCCGTGGCAGGGCTGTGCTGAGCAGCATGGCCACACACAGTAGGAGTTAAACGTGGCCTGCCCCGTGCCTGGCTCCCGTTGTGGGGAAAGCTGTCAAGGGTGGAGGGTGCCCTTTGTGCTGTCAGTTTCCTGACTCCTGATTTATGACGCCGAGGCTTTACCTCCAGCCACAGTTAAGGTTTCCGAAGCACTTTGGTGCTGGCAGCAGCTCAGTGTGAGTGTTGGTTGCAGCTCGAGGATGATGACGATGACGATGATATGGGGGACCACGATGAGGACCACCCTGGGATGGAGGTGGTGCTGCACGAGGACAAGAAGTACTACCCCACTGCTGAGGAGGTCTATGGGCCCGAAGTGGAGACCATAGTGCAGGAGGAGGACACGCAGCCTCTCACTGGTGAGTGGCGTTAAGTCATCTTGTTTGGTCCTCCCGTAAAAAGAGAAAGGAATCTGTCAATTTAAAGCTGTGTTCCTGATCTGCAGAAAATCCCCACGCAGTATTTGGGGGTGCTGGGTTCAGGTCACCCATAACAGTGTTTTATTGTTCTTTCCTTTGTTTTCAGAGCCTATTATTAAACCTGTGAAAACCAAAAAGTTCTCGTTGATGGAACAGACGTTACCGGTCACCGTCTATGAGATGGAGTAAGTAATTTGCGGAGTTGGAAGCGTGTGCTTTGGTTCAGGCCATCTGTGCTGCAATTTCCTTGCTTCTCATTGCTTACAGGCAAGGTGGGGAGGCAGAGGGGAGTGCTGTATGGAGGCGGGAGCCCACAGGGGGCACTGGGTTTGTTTCTTACTAACAGCAGCCATATAAGCGAGTGCAGCTGGCTCCCGGAGTTTGAACAGAAAAGAAGAGGAGGAAAGCACGAGGCCAACCATTTTACAGCTATTTTGCCTTCCTTGTAGGCAACATGGTGCATTTCCTACTATTTTTCTGATGCCTTTATACTCTGCTCACTTCATCAGTAATTAATTCTTACTCCTGCTCTTCCTTGATGTAGATGCTTAAGATGGGGCCATGCAGAAGTCCCGGTGGGACTTAACCAGAAACCTGCAAGCTTGCTATTGATTTCACATTTAGCCCTGATTTAAGACCGATAGGCAAGCTTTTAATTTGTATTCTTATTGATTTTTGTGCTTTTTAAGCTCTTAATCAAAATGTTGTATGCTAAAAAGTCTGCTTCATAAGTGAAAACTAAAGTATTTTTAAGAAGGAGATTATTTGACTGGGCTTACTATCTGCAAATCCATAATAATTGATTCTTGTTTGATAGCTTTCCATTATTTTGAAGAGTAGCTGCTGATTTAGGTTCTCAGTTCCATTTTGGCTGGGACCTCTGCAGAGGTGACCGGCTCTTCACTCCTCAGCTCGTTGCTGGTTCAAAAAAGATTTAAATTCTATTACTGTTTCCTCCAGTGCCTGGGAGCATCAGTGTTTTAAGACCTGAAAGTCAGAATTAAGACCTGAAAGTCAGAATTAATAGTCTGCAGCACCCCGTGGCCACCTTTTAAAAGTGTGTGGGGTGTTGTTATCCACCTCTCTGGTTTAGTTGACTACCTGCCACCATTGGAGCGGAAGCGTTTCCTCATCTGAGCTGCTCTAATCCTGTCTAGAAGAGAAGAAAGGCGTTCAGAGTATTTAATCTCTTGCAGTTTTACCAACTCCGTCTCCTCCCACCCACTGCCATCTGTCCAGGACTCCAACTCTCTTGTCCTCCCCATCTGCAGAGTGGGATTCTTCCTCCGCAGGGCACGAAAGTTTGGAGAGGATTCAGAGGGCCCTCGGGTGGAAAGCGGCGCCTGCTTTTCTTAGACGCAGCAGAAGCCTCCAACAGTCTTTTGTGCTTCATCCCTCCAGTTTCCTGGCAGATCTGATGGACAACTCTGAGCTGATTCGGAATGTGACTCTGTGTGGGCACCTTCACCACGGCAAGGTAGTGTGAATATCCCACGTGCGCTGGGTAGCAGTAATGATCTCTCCGTTCCTTTCTTTGGCTGCTGCTCTTTTGACCCCCTGATCCCCGCAGCAGCGTTCTCTCCCGCTCCCGTTGCTCTGCAGTTATTTGTGGCCTTTCTTTCTGTCATGTGGAAGTATTTCTGTAGCCCCTTTTCTGTGTGCCCCGTGGGAGGGGTGGGATTCTGCTGCTGTTTATCTCTCGGAACGAAGTCGCATCTCTTTTCCCCACGGTTTGGTGTTTTTCAGACTTGTTTTGTTGACTGCCTGATAGAGCAGACGCACCCCGAAATCAGGAAGCGCTACGACCAGGATGTGAGTGAGCTCTGGGTGTCTTCCTGCCTTGGAAAGTGTGGGGAAAGTGTGGTTCTGTGGTTAGAATGAGGGGCTGGAAAACCGGAGAGCAGTCCTAATTCCAGCTCTGTCACTTGCCGTGCTAACAGCGTGCAAAGAGCTGTCATGTTGTGCTGTTCAGTGCAAAACCATGATATTCTGATTCTTGTTTTGTCTTTGCAGCTTTGCTATACTGATATATTGTTCACAGAGCAGGAGGTAAGTGAGCCTTGTAGGACAAACTGCTTTCACCCAGCTGCCTCACGCTTTACTCACAATTAACTTACAGTTCCTTCTTCCTCTTTCATCTCATCATCTTTTGTGCCTTCTGCAGTTTGATTATTTTCTTTATCAAGAAAATGATCTTCTCTAGTTTTGCCAGATCCCTTATCCAACTGTTTCCCATCTACTGCAGCCCTCACCTCCATGTATGATTTTTACTTATCTACCTCTGTGATGCTGAAAATCCACACAGCATTATTGTGACACACAGGCAGCCCATTAATCTGTAGCAGTAATATCACGACATAGGGGTAAACCAATTATTTTATTTTATTTTATTTTTTGAGGGGAAAGAGGTGGAAGGGATTCATAGCAGTGGTGGAGGAGGAGAAAAACTGTAATTTCAAATGCACATCTTTCTGCTAGGCTTCCTGTGATGGGAAATTGTAACTGAGTGCTCTGATTGCATGTTGGCATTGGATGGGGATTTTATCCAGTCCTTCGCACTGAATGCTGCCATGACCAGAGCAGTCCTGGGGAGCTTCTCTTTTTCTTCAGCTTGCTGCTGTGCTTTGCACTCTGTGTGATTGAATATTAAGTGCTGAGGTGTAACTCAATAGCAGAGGAATGAAAACACAGAAAAATGCACATCTTCTGTCTCTGGCATTTGTAGCTGTAATCAGACTCGGGTTGCGTGGCCCCATAGTGGTAGCTGGCCAGTCTGCACCAGCGTGGAAGGAGCAGCTGGGCTGCACAGCAGTGATCTGAGTGCAGGATGTTGGGCTGGAGGGATGTTTGCTTCCCTCAGTCCTTCTGATGAATTCTTCCTTCTTCATCTTTTATCTGGGAATTTTTCACTTCATTCCTTAACTGGTAATCCTGCTTTGCTGTGTTTCAGAGGGGAGTGGGGATCAAGAGCACACCAGTGACCATTGTTCTGCCAGACACCAAAGGAAAGTCTTTTCTCTTCAACATCATTGACACCCCAGGTATAATCCTGCAAATCCTGTTTCGGGGTGCATGTAGCTGAAGGCAGCTGGGTGTGTAAAGCAGACGTATGAGCACGTGTTCCTTCCTCTTTGGCCCTCTGGGTAGTGCTGTTGATGGGAGCAGATCGATGTGTGGTAGGAAACTGAGGCCAAATTTTAGGGGGAGGGCATCTGTGTGTTCTGCCTTGCTGGGTGTCAGTGACCCGAGCCGAGGGGCAGCCCCAGACCTGCACTCAGGTTTCAGATTGCTCTCGTTCTCACTTTTCTCCCCGTTTTTGTTTGTTTTCTGAAGGTCACGTCAATTTCTCTGACGAGGTGACGGCTGGCCTTCGTATTTCGGATGGCGTCGTGCTTTTCATTGATGCAGCTGAGGGGGTGAGTGTCAGCTTCTCCTGGGCATCAATTCTGAGCTCGCACCAGAGCCTGGACCCTGCTTTATCATGGAGGGGATGGGCTCAGCTTGAGTGCTGAAGGGTTTTTGGAGGACACTTTGAGAAACTGCCAAAGCGGGGACTCGGGCCTCCCGCTTCTGTTTCCAGATCTGACGTGACGAGTGTGACCTGTGGGCTCATATCTGATTTATTTGTATCTCCACTGTATGTAAAATTGAGCAGGTTATTCATACCAGTGATGTCTGAGGGCTAGGACTCAAGCAGTTCGGTTGGGTTAGCACCTACTTCAAATTTCAGGACGATCACTGATGGTTCAGCTGAGGCTTTCCTACAGGCTGCAGCCCTGTGTGTAAGGGTCACTGCCTGGCATGCCCTACATAGCATTTTGAGGAGGGCTTTTGCTAGGGGCGTTGGTGCTCATTTCCCTGCAGGTGATGCTGAACACGGAGAGGCTGATCAAGCACGCGGTGCAGGAGCGGCTGGCAGTG